CAGCAAGTTGTAGACACTTCCTTCCAGGTGATGTCTCCTTTTCTCTTTGTGACACAGAAGGTCGTCTATAAGTAAGAGGCACAACCTCTAGGCTGGACTCTCCTTTCTTGAAATAGCCTTCCCTGAGCTTCCATGGTCCCCTCCACCAGTACTGCTAGGTTTGCTCTTTTGCTCCTGCCTTTCAGCAACTCCTTCTTAATCACTCTTGTTAGGTTTTCCCCTTCTGACTGTCCTGCATGTGTTTTTATTCTCCGGGATTCTGGGCATACCGAGGAGAAGCCCATAGTTCTTGGAAGGGCAGGGCAGGGCAGAAGCCCAGAGAACTGGGTTACTAGTAAATACAAGATGTGGAGCCAGTGGTTGGCAAGGGAGAAGCCCAGGCCATGTAGAGCCCAAGTGTCAGGTCAGTTTGGGTGCTCCAGCTGGGCCAGCCTGGGATATGGGGACAGGTAGATTCCAGGATCTCTGGAATACGCCTACAGATGGCAGAAAAGAGGAGGAAGGCTGCTGAGGTAAAACAAAGCCAGGAGAAGATCTCCCTGCAGAACAGGAAGCCAGTGTCATGAGACTGCCTTTTTGGATTTCACATTGACATTCAGTGTGCTCATCAGCTCTTTCATTAACTCAGCGAGGCTTTACTAAATGTTACGTGGAGTGCAAGGTCATTTCTGTACCCCAAATACTGAAATGAGCAGTGGGGATGGCATTGGAGGGTGGTCAGCGATCCAGACCCAAACTATGGGTGGAGTTCTGCTGCGCTTCTGGAGGGAGTCCCACACGCTGCACTAGCTTTCACCCTGTGGCACAGCGTAGTTTGGATGAGGAGGCCACATTTAGGGAAGAATACAGGTGGCTGTAACTAGAAGCCTAATCTGTCTTTGTTTGCTAGAACTACACAGTGATCCTGAATATAGCCTTTTAAAAATAACGTGCATTTTAGGCATTTGAGGCCATCCTATGAAAGAAACACAATAAGATTATTTTCTTTGATCCTCTTTATTTTTAATTTTAATTAGGTGTGCAGAAGCATAAAATCATAGGGTTTTGCCAGATGGGACTTGAGCTCACTTCAGTCCCCCTCATTTAGATGACTTGTACAAGGTAACCCAGCACATTAATTGCTGGTGTACACTAGACCCTAACTCCCCTGACCTTGTCTGTACTTAATGTCCTGTCTCATAACGCCTTTAAGAGAGTGAAGCATGTCGAACAGTTAGCAAAGCAGAAGGTCACCTGGAAGAGCTGTGAGGGGACCCTAGTTCTGCTCTGTCTCAGTCATTTTTTGTCTGCTGCACCTTGCTGCCCCCAGCTGAGAGTGTGTCATCTACAGGCAGAACGGGGTTATAAGAAATCACTCGATGCAGAAATAATTCTTACCTTATAAGCGCATTTTCCCTATTATGTGCCAGGTGCTTAGAATATACTTTTCATTCATTTCACCCTGTAATCCAATGAAATGCACAGACTGACTGAAGTCTTGTTTTCTAACTGGCATTACAAATCTCCCTGCATTCAACCAGACTCTCTGGTGAGAAAACAAAAGTGTTTACATTGTTGGGAGGAGCCAGTGCTTTGAGTGCCCATTCGGTCCCCTTCAGCCAGCTGGCTCACACTTAGCCTCTGGTTCACACTTGCCACCCGTACACTTCCAGTTCTGGAATACCCCATAAGCAGACGGAGTATGTGTCTAGGCAACAGCAGCAAAATGGAAACACTGAAAAGTTTTTTGTGGGATTTTTTTGTATTTGCTATTTTAAAAAAGAGAGACACTTTGAAGTAATCATCATGGAACAGTCATAGTGTTTGTTGTTGGACTTATACATGTTTTACAGTTGTGTTGTTTTTTTTTTTATTTATAAAAATCTAAACCAATAGAAAACATCCAAGAGTAGTACAATAAATTCCTGTATATCCTTCACCTAGGTTTACCGGTTGTTAACATTTTGCCACATTTGCTTTCTCCCCCTATATATAATACATATATAATTATATATACACGTATATTGTAATTACTACTATTATTTTGCTGAACCATTTGTAAATTTAAGATATTGTGAGATTCATTTCTAAACAACTCAGCCTGTATTTCCTAAGAACGAGGATATTCTCTTACATAACCTTAATATAATTATTCAATCCAGGATATTTAATGTTGATACAATGCTATTATCAAATATACAGTCCATATTCAAATTTTGCCATTTGTCCCGATTACTTCAGGTTGTGAGTTGCTCATTGGCAAGAGGAGATGGGGGAGGTAGATTTCCGAGGTCATACTCTGCACCGGCTTTTATCTGCTTTTTTATTTTAGATTTCCATCTGCTGGTCCTCCATCCACAAGAGCACCCTCAACTAATAGTTATAAGACTGCTGTGGGGACTGGCACATAGATATACTGCATTGTTTGCTTTTTTATGAATGTTTAAAAAAAGTAACAAGTCACGCAGTAGGTTTATTTCCCAAAATGGACTTTTTTCTATAAGGATGTGTTTTCATTTGCAAAGACTTAAAAATTATTAGATGGATTCTTTTAATACTATACAAAAATCAGCCCATCTGAAGGTATTACTAGTTTTAATAATGTACCTTAGCCCTTTGACTAGAGAGAACGATCCTCAATTAAAACTACAAATCAAACCACTGCCTGAGCACCAGGGGGCAGAGTTGGGCTTGCTGAGAGGCAGGAGTGGGGAATTTTCTCACCCAGTGTTCTGTAGTTGGGCTTTAATCATCCCTCTCCTGACAGAAGCGTGCTCACTACTGGAATCAGTAATTCGCTTATGCTGATTTGTTCACATACTTAAACCTCTGACTTCTGCCAATGCTCTCTTCCTGAGGTTCGTATACATTTGCTATTTCTCCAGTGATAGCGAAATAGAAACCTAATGTCAACCTCATCAAGATGTACTTGCTAAATCCCGAGAGACTAGTTTATGTTTTCCTTTCAGCATATTCCACATCCACAAATAAAGTGTCTTTGTGTCTCATCACGAATTTACATAAGACTGCTTTGGCTTTAGAGTATTTATAAAACATTAATGGATTAAGGAACCACAGGATGTAGATAGAATGCTAATACCTGGTTATCACTTGGTGTAGGAACTGGTTCAGCAAAGTGGTTTAAATTGCCTGGCCAAGACAAACTACAGAGGTGGTAGCATTAGGACAGGATTATAAAGAGATTATGGTCTATTTAAAATAAATCCATAGCCTCTCTCCAACCTCATTAGCAATTAGCAGGAAAGTGTGAAGACAGGGATTCCTTTCTCTTTACTTGGTTCTCCATTCCATCGTAAGAAGTTTGAACACAATTAGGCATTCTGTCCTTGGCACCAAAAGTCAGCTTTCTTTGATGCTTGGCAGTCTGCCAGCTTCTTTGGCTTTGCAGTACCTGCTTCTTGGAGGATGTGTTCAGCACACCCGGTGTCTGATTTTCTTAAATCTATGGGTCTAGAATGCTTTTGACAATCAGTTGTTTTTAAAAACTCATCTCTTCCCTATTCCATAATATCAGAAAATAGACCTTTTAGGTCTGGAAAATTATATTTATTTTTGTTTCTGGCAAGACTGATGACAGTGCGGTCTTTTACTACTTGGCATTTTGTAAGAGCCTGTTTGAAACATCCATACTTACAGACTTACGTGTCAACAGTGGCAATAGGGCTCAGTCCTACAAGAATTTAATGTTTTAGGAAATGAGAATGCCTTTTGTGTTATTTCGGACAGTCTGACACCTTAGAGGCCCCATATCATCTGCTCTAGATGGAAGAAGTCTTTTGGCATACCTTGGTCCAGAGGGTCTTGGTTACCATTCACCTGCTACTTTTCAGAGCAGTGCAGTGAAACCATCAGGTCATTGTCTATAATCAGCCTCATTATGCTATGTCTTCTCTCTATCCTTCTTAGAATTAGATATCAAGATTCACATAATCCCCACTTCCCAGTGTTTTATTTGCCAAAGCAAAACTTAGCATTGATAAAACCATCAGGTAGGTCATATAGGATTGACTTTCTGTCACATCACTAGAGAAGCAAGTTCAATGAATATTAGATTTGGTGAAACCCTGTGTCCTGTAACTTTATGCTTGTGTAACTTTATGAGAATCCAGGGGCCAAAATAAAGAAAATGTCCTAATATTAAATAAGAGCTAAATGTGGATTTAAAGAAACACACTGTCAGCCTGATTAAAACAAAGATCTGATTACAACATTTAATTACTATAATTTAGTGGTAAATATCCTTTGGTTCCAGGTCTTTCTCCTGAAAAGCTACCATTTGTTTGTCAAGATACTTAAAATAATAAGTCTTTGTTTTCACAGACCTTGGGTTTACTCTAAACCACTTAGAAAGATGTGTCAGAGTGCTTGAAGCCCAAAGACATAAAATGCCCAATTTCTCTTGGCCTTGCCTGTTGGACATCTCCAAAGAGACTGTCTTAGCCGCTGTTGCTACAACGCGCTTACTAATTGGCACAGCACCTGCAATCAATTAGGGAAGCTTCAATTATCCAAACCAAAACCACCCACCCAAAGATTAATTTTCTGCTCTATTTCCTATCAAAAACAGCATATTTAGCTCTGAGTCTAGTCCTTCAGTGAAGTGCATTTTAGACATATAAACTACATCATTTTCTTGTTAATTATACTTGTTCCTGCAATTCAGCAGCCTTCCCCTCGTAATATCACGCCCACCAGTTCTTTCAAAGTTGTTCTTTTTCTGTTGTTTTGTTGGCTTTCCAAAATGCTGAGATCACAGAGAAAAGATGTTAGTTGGGAGCTTTTCTTGTGAAGTATGGCTTTTTTTATTTTATTGCAAATACCCAATCTCTTTGAGTTATAGGATCTAACTTGTCCAACCTGAAAGCTTTGAGTAATGGCATCTCTGAATTTAATAGCAATCATAAATATTTTCTAATCGTCCCATATCATTGGCCTATGTAAATACAAAGATTTCACCCTCTCCCACTTTTAAAGAGTAATTTTTCTGTTGTGTTTCTTAGAGAAGGAACAAGCCATAAATCGGGCTGGTATTGTTCAAGAGGATGTGCAACCACCAGGTAAACAAACAAACAAAAATCTCATTTGTGCTATTGTGTTAGGGGCTTTGTGTATGTTTGCTTTGTGGTGGAGAGCAGGAGAATGCTTTTTAGCTTACAGACTAGATTGTAATTTTGCTATCTATTTCACAACAGTTGCCATTGTATGTAGGGGCCACCCAAGACTTCATTTTAATATTTCACTTTGGAATTCTTTTTGCAGGTTTGCCACATTCCTCTTTTGTGTTTGATAAATGGGCATAAAAATGTAGCAAATGTGCAGTTAAATATGAAGTGTGAAGGGCTGTTTTGCAGACTTATTTACCAAGCACCTATTTAAATACTACCCTCATGGGAAAATAGTGTTTACTTGTGAGCTGTTTTAACTGATATGGATCTGCTTTATACAAAAGCTCAGAAAGTTCCCTTTATGGCTGAATGGTTAGTTCCTTTAAGATGATCCAAGTTGGCTGAGAATGAGAGGTTTCCAGTTTATTAACCAAATCTCTTGTAATCTGTGGCAACATTCTTATTTATATATTTATTTTTTAACTAGGCCAGATAACATATCTTCCTGTTACGGGGCAATTTCTGAGCCATTTAAAAGTCCTTGGTGTCTGCCATGGCTTCCCAGCCATTTCATTCCTGGGTTCTAGCAGTCTGTTCTCACCATAGCAAACTACACTGTAAATTGCACAACTCAATTCTGATGTCATTTTGTTTGTTTGGGTTTGAGGGAAGTAGTGGGACATTTAAAAATGAATCCTGTCTTTATTCGTGTTTCTTTTATAGGGTTAAAAGTGTGGTCTGATCCATTTGGCAGGAAATGAGAAGGCTGTCATCAATTCCGATTATGAAAGTAGATATCTTCAGGCTGTAGATTCTGCATCGAGTGCAATAAATCACCTCACTATAGAACAATGACTGGAGAAGAAAACTCTGTAATGCCATGAAGTAAGAATCCTTGTAATAAAAGACTCTGCACAAGGATTAATATTTCCCTTCTTAAGTATCAAAAGAACCCTGGAACAAATTATGCCATTTTGGAAGATTTTCATGATTCATTTGGCTTGCCAAAAATGAAGGTATCTCACCCAGCTGTGTTTGGAGGAGATCTGCTTATTACTAAGTCTTTACCACTCACCCAGCTGAGCTGTGATAGGAATACAAGTGACCGATGGGCTTGAGTAGATCCAGATCTACTTTGCCATCTTCCAAATGAGAGATTTCAGTGAAAAACCACCATGCTGAGCTGCCTCATAGGACTCTTTGAAAATGTTCAAGTTGATAAAGCTCTTTGAAGACAAGGTACTTTGTGCAGCTTAACCATCTCTTGTTGAAGATTGCTTCATGTTGGAAAATAAATAAATGTGAAGCAAGTTAAACTAGATAGGTACACATGCCTAGTGGAAATCAATGGTGAATTAACAGAAGTGAAAATATGTATATTAAATTGACTTATTTTTACTTCGCAATGGTGTGTTTTTTTGAAAATCTTTTTTTGTAAACTAATTAAATTATAAGACCAAGAAGTACTATTTGACTAGGTTATATTTGATTAGATATTTGTATGGTGTTCATCTGTTTGCATGTGTAAATGTTTTAAAGGTAAATAGCAAATGTGTTGAGACAAGTATCTATTGAATGCCAATTCTCTATCTCACCAGGTGCTGCAAAAACAAGAGTGGAAGGAATTCTTTTTCTTTCTCTCTTTCTCTTACTCTCCTTCCCTCTCCTCCTCTCCTCTCCCCGTCTGTCTCCCCCTCCATCTCCCCCTCCCTCCGCTCTCTCCTGCTCTGTCTAGCTACTTACTAGATGATATGCTTCTGAAGAGACACTGTAGGCTTTCTTTAGATGAGCTGCCTGATGACATAATTTTATTGTTGTGAACTTGCAGTTTAGTAACAGACAGCTGGCCCAATTATGTAATTACTGTCAAAAAGAAATAAGATTGATAGTTCCAAACCCAACATCATCATTTTTGGTAGGCATTCTCTAACATTTAATTGACTTATAGTTAACAACCCAATAAAGGAAGTTGACTCATTAGGGGTACATTTGACCCCTATTTTCCATGGAGGGGGCACCACGAAGTTACATAACTTAAAGGCAAATGTTGTATGGGTGCTTAATTGAGATCTCTTTATGACTGAGGCAAGCTCTTGGTACCATCTGCTTTGGAAGTTGTCCAGGCTAGAATGCCTGTGTCTGAGTTCTGTAGAGGAGAACTATGGGGACTTGGTTGACTGTCTTTGATGGTGCAGACCCAGATTTGCCTTCTGAGTGGGATCTTTGTCCTGGGCCTGCCCCTGCCCTCTGTCTACCTTTTTGCAGGGATAAAGGGGCAGTCTGTCCTGCTCAGTTGCCTTGACATTTATAAAAGGATCACTCTTCATGTTGTCAGAGGTGTAACTTCAGCCTCTGCTGTCTGCACTTGACAGAAGCCAGGTTGTAAGAAATGCTATTCATGAGGATTGAGTGAGGGCCTTGCTGTTCATCCATGAGCTCCCCGTGTGTGCCCACAGGATGATAATAGAAGCACTTGAAAGAAGGGATCTTCGTCAAGTACATTTAGGAAACAGTTAAAGTGGATTAGGTTTATTTGCTTCTAATATATCCAAGAAAGGCATAACATTTCCCAAATGTGTTTGATCATGGAACGTTTTTCACTTCTGGGACTTGTGACTGTGGCATCCTTTCAGGGAAGTCTTCCTTTATATCATTGGTTCTTAAAGTTTTTGGTCTCAGAGACCCTCTACACTCTTAAAACTTTTCAGGAACTCTAAAGTGATTCTTTTTTGTGGATTATATCTGTAGATATTTACTGTATTAGAAATTAAAACAGAAAATTAAAAAATATTTATTGAATTATTTAAAAATGTCATTAACAAACACATAGGTTAATATGACGTGTTTTTGTGTAGAATTTATTTTCCTAGACAAAAAAAAATTGCAAATCTCATTAATGTCTGGCTTAACAGAAGACAGCTGGATTCTCTTACCTGCTTCTGCATTCGATCTGTTACTCTCACATGCCATATGGCCTCTGGAATGCTCCACTGTACACACCCATAAGAGTTTGAGAGTAAAAACAGGCAAGAAAGCTTTAGTAGTATTGTAAAAATAGTTCGGACATGCAGACCCCCTGAAAAGGTTTCAGAGACTCCTACAGGTCCCTGCACAATATTTTGAGTCCAGTTTTGTTTTTCCCCCTTGTACTACATCAGACCTCTTGAGAATTGTGTAACTCAATTGCATTAGTTCCCTCAAAGAGTTACGTGTAGTGAACTGTGCTTTGGCATGTTCATATTGAGGGAGATTATGAGGGCAAGGGAGAAACTGACAACATTTCTTACTGTTATTTCTGAAATGAAGTTGTTGGGCTCTTCATTTTCAATGTCTAGTAATATCCCCTTTAGGAAAACTTGAACTGGCATTTTTAAATCTCGGAACCAGAAATAGCAACACTGCCGAACAGTTGGGTTTTTTTTTAAATTTTTTCTAAAGATGACTGGTAAGGGGATCTTAACCCTTGGCTTGGTGTTGTCAGCACCACACTCAGCCAGTGAGCGAACCAGCCATCCCTATATAGGATCCGAACCCGTGGCCTTGGTGTTATCAGCACCACACTCTCCCGAGGGGGCCATGGGCCGACCCCATGGTCCAGCTTTTTAAAAAAGGCCTAAAACCTTGTAGAATGTATTTGGGCCCTTATGTTCACCTCATTCTTTTTTTCCCTCTGCCCTTATTTTTCTTCCTGCTTTCTCACTTCAGTTTTCTCTCTTATATTGTATGTTAGACCCCTCATTTTAAAATAAGGCAGGGCATAAGTATACATCCAATTGAAAACCACTTACAGTCTAGTAAAGGAAGTAAATTGACAAAAGATTAAAATAATATGGAATGTTAAAAGCGCCTTTAAAGAAGTCAGAGTATCTGCTAATACTGGACATATGCAAGCCTCGTGTCCCAGCAGTACTCCTTCCAGTTATTTATGCAGCAATGCATCCAGCAACTTGCTAGCAAACATGTACTAGAATGTTCACAGCAGCACTGGAAACTACCCAAATGCCCCCCCATAGTACAATGAATGAATATACTGTGGTGTGTTCACACGATGGAATATGATGCGGCAGTGAGGATGAACAATATACGGTAATGAGTCTCACAATGCTGAACAAAGGAAGCCAGTTGCAAGAGTACATACTTTAAGGTTCCATTTAAATAGAGAATAAAAGCAGGCAAACCTAGGCCATACAGGTAGAAGTCAAGATAGTGGCTACGCCTAGGGAGTGGAAGGGGTGGTGACTGGGAAGTGGTCCAGGGTGCTGTCAGGTTCTATTTTTCTTGATCTTGGTGCAGGTTAAATGGGTGTGTTGAGTTCCTGAATATTCATTGAGTTGTACAAATACTTTTGTAAATGTATGTCATACTTCATTAAAAATGTTTTTTAAAAAAAGTGAAAAGATTGGCTTTAGAAGAAAAAGAGGTTGTATTTAATTGTGGAATCAGAAATCTTTCCAGAGAATCTTGTTCAGTGGCAGGAGAGATGATTAAATCCTGTAGGGTTGTTGGGAAAAGTAGGAATACTGTATGTAAGGTGCCTATCACAATATCTGGGACATGGCAGGGGCCAGACTAATGATAGCTATTATCATAGATGGAGTAACTGACATTTGAACAGAGCCATGAAAAATGGGATTTAGACACACAATGGGTGACAGAGGTACATAGAAAAGTTAAGCAGAAATTTGAGAGATGATTTAGTTTGGGTATAGGTAGGTGTATATGTGGAGACCACTACACCAGGGGCTACCTGTCCCACACACCACTGTATCCTCCCACCTGGTGTGGGCTTGGCATACAGTAGGCACTTGGTCAGTACTGATGGATTGAATGATCAACTGAAAGAATGAGTGAGTGAATGAATGAAGGGAATGGTAGTTTAGGACCATGTGGTGGACACCCTTAAATATCAAGCTGATATTTTTTACTTAATTTAGGAGACATGAAGCGCTTTAGGCAGGAAGTGTTCCGAAAACGCTAAAGCCAGAGTGCTCTCCCCAGAGCAGTTGCAATTACAGTGGTAGCTGGAGCAGTTGGAGACTGTTACCTGTCCACTATGACGTCAGTACAGAAATGAAGAATAAGCATTTAGAAGCTTTCGAATCTGACAAAAAAACTTGGGCTTGCATTTTGTATTTTTAAATTTCTAATGCAGTTAATTTTTTTTGTATTTTACAATGGTCCACGATGGGCTAGTAGTTAGAAACAAACAAAACTGGGTTGTTTGAGAAGTGCTGTCCTTAAGGATGGATCTGACAGGATGTTCTCAGGTGCACATCAGTCCAGGGCTCAGAAGTCCTGTGAGCTCACCAGAGTTCCCCACCTCCTGAGGCTCCTGTGTTCTGAAGCATTTGCAGATGAAAACCCCCTGTTGCCTAGCCCTGGACAGGCGATTTCACTACACCTGCTGAGTGCAGAGGCCTAGTGCAGTTCATTCTGCTGGTTGGTAACAAAATATAGAGTTCACTGGCAACTCTGTGTGTGAGAAGGTAGGCGGGGCACTTGGGAGGCTGCTGTGCTGGCCCACTGACCATGTGCCTGAAGATGGCGTTAACTCTGCAGCTCTTGTCCCTGGAGCAGGGATCTCAGCCAGGAGGTGCAGCCAGGTCACTCTTCCCAGGATCTCCGAGCTGATAGCAGCAGCAGAGTGCCTCTCCCTCTTCTGCTTAGACTCTGCTGAGTGGTCTTCCCCCAACTGTGATTGAGTGAGTACATAGGAAGAAACGAGAAGTCACTGTCCCCGAGACTCCAGGAGGCTTGTCGTAGACTCCAAAATGGTCTCTTCTTTCTGAGGTTCTCTCTGTCACCACACATAACTAAAATAAGGTACAAAAAAAATTGGAATGCTTTGTCCAGACTCTTTTGGTTGCAAGTAACAGAAAACCAAATCCCAAATTATGCAAAAAGGAATTTGCTCGGTCCTCAGAGAGTTAGGAGTGAAGGATCCCTTCCATCTAAAGTGGTCAGGGAAGGCTTTTGNTTATTTTTCTGGTCCAATAGTACCTCACCAATGTTGTTTGAAATTGTTTCTATCTACTTTCTAAGTATCTCTTCATACCTCTTTTCTTTTACCCTCTGGGTCAGGCACGCATTTCTTTGTATTTGCTTACTGCTGCCAGCTTTGCTGGCTACTGCTCCAAAACTTCTCTCTCCATCTCTCTCCTATTTCACATCTTTTATTTCCTATATGTTGAGAAGCCAGATAACCACTCTTGTTAGGACCGCAAATTAAATGGGGTGACTTTGATTCATCTCGTGCCACTACCCATTCTTATAAATACAAGCATAAATCCTTTTTTTAGGCCATATTTTATTTAGCTTGATTTATTATTTCTCACAAGAATAGCTTTCCGTGAAAGTCCTGGAGGGAAAGGAACCTTGTAAAGATTCAAGAAGACATTTTCTGAGACATAATCCTTAGTAGCAGAGACAGCCATCCCCTAAACTAAAGAGACATGGACTAGTTTTTC